CTGAGACCCCCTCAGAAACATCAGAATGGCAAATTCGGGGCTTATGGGTACACATACATTTTTCTAGAGAGTGAAGACAGAGGGACAGAGACAGAGGATATGAACTGCCTCACCCAGAGGATGGCGCTATGAGGCACAGGCAGGTAGGCCCCCTCCAGCAAGCACAGCCCTCCACCCCCTCCCCTCCCGCTCCAGGGCCTCCTCCGCACGCGTCTCCAACAAGACTGGTTTCTTGACCCAATTTCACTCCCCTCCTACATCGGTTCAATTAGAATGATCTCGCTTTCAAATCTCTCTCTGACTCTGACAAGACAACGTCTTTTCTGCGGAAATTTCTACACATTTTAAGGCCAACCCCAACCCCAACCCCCCCGCTGGCTGTTGTTGGGTATTATTTTCCATCCATTCGTGCTCTTGCCCCAAAGCTGCCCTAGTGGACAGACGCGCCGCGGTGTGGCCTGCCTCTCCACCGCCTGCCCCACAGCTGGTCTCCCCTCTCACTCCGGTTTCTCCTACGATTCACCATGTTTTGACACCTCTGACAGGACTGTCCTCCACACCCATCAGCAGCTCTCTCAAAAACTATGCCCAGACTGACCAGTTGACTCAGAAGTCTGTTCACATTTCACAGATGTTCTGTTAGAGGTGTGATGTCCTTTGGTACCCAAGTGAACAAGATTTCTAATAAAAATGCAGCCAGTGTTCACTGAGCTCTCTCTAGGTGACAGACACTATTTGGAATGCTCGGCATGAATGACTTATTTAATTCTGACAACAACTCTACAAAGGCAGTACAGTTGCTGTTCCCAGTTTAAAATGAGAAAGTCAAGATACACAGAAAAGTTAAAAAAAATTTTTTTTTGCTCTGCTTACACAGCTAGTAAGCACCAGGCAGTCTGGCCCTAGACCCCAATTTCTTACCTACTTCCCTATATTGCCTTTCACGATGAATTATGGGAGACACTCTTTAACTTCTCTGTTCCTTAGTTTCCTCATCTGTAAAATGGGTTGGACAAGAGCAAAACTGCAATGTAAGGGGGCTGGTGGAATTAAATGAGATGCTATGCCTGAAGAGAACATTGGGAATTCCAAAGCATTAGAGAAATATTAGTAAACACAGAATGGATGCAATGCTATCTACTTGGTTTCTCTGCAACTTAGAGGCCACCCTGTCACATGCCACGTTCTGGTCAACAAGGCAAAATTCTCCGGGGAGGACTTCCCTTCCTGACTAAAGGGCACAATGTTAAAACGATGTCTTTTCCACTATCTTCTTTATCATCTGACGTGCAGAATGTGTTGTTTGAGTATTTACTAGTGACTTTGCAACCACGGAGATGAAAGCCATACCCTAAGGATGGGGAAAGAGACAAGAGCCTGGTTCCTTAAAGACACTGTAAAACAGCTTCCCTAGACTTGACTGCCTGCTCCAGACTTCTTGTTAGGAGAGATACATAAACTCCTGTATTTATGAGAGGGTTTTCTATGACTTGCAGCAGAATGCGTGCCTCACTGGTACACCACCACTCAGACGAGCTCCTTCAGGAAGCCCATGGAACCTCCCTGAATTCATGGTTCCAATCTCACCTAGGCCCTTGCAGCTACTCCTCTGTCTCCTTCCTCTCTTCCATGAGCTCCTTATCCTCCTTTCCTCGGCGGGAACACTGTCGAATCTCTGCGAACCCTCAGTCTTCTTTTTTTTATTGAAGTATAGTTGATTTATGATGTTGTGTTAGTTTCAGGCATATAGCAGAGTGATTCGGTATTTTTGCAGATTATATTCTATTATAGGTTATTGCAAAACATTGGGTATAATTCCCTGGGCTATACAATATATTCTTGTTGCTTATCTATCTTATATATAGTAGTTTGTATCTGTTAATCCCATACCCCTAATCTGTCCCTCCTCTCCTCCCTCTCCCTTCTGGTAACTCCAAGTTTGCTTTCTGTATCTGTGAGTCCGTTTGAGGGCCCTCACATTTAAGCAACTAACTCTACCTCCTAATGAACAGAGTTTTAAAAAAAAAATCAATATAATGGAACACAGTTAATTTCTCACCACGTTCTCCAACTGTGCCTGTAGTTAACCAGTTCTTGATGTGATGTGGGTGTGCACCCCTCTTTTGTCCTGGGAAAATCCTTCCCTTGATACATTCTCACCTTCTTTTCACTCCTGCACCCACTACCATCAGGCTTTGGTTTCAGCCAGAAATTCATTGAAACCGCTCTTGCTAAGGTCACAAATTTGGCTTCAAATCGCCAAAGAGAAACGTTTGGATCCTTATTCCAGTGGACCTCCAAACAGCATTTTACATGGCTAATCATTACCTCCTTTTTGGAATGACTTATTCCTTCAGCTTCCATGATCCTGCTTTGCTAAGGTCTGCTTTTACCTGCTCTTCATTTCTTTTCAGTTGAATCCCATTAAACTTCTTCCCTGGCTAAACGCCTCGACTTTAGGTATTCTTGTCTTCCTGATATATTCTGTATACTTCCTTTGGATGGACTCAGCCAATTTACAATGGAAGATCACCAGTGAGGGGGTTTCCCCACTAGCAACAATGGACTGTCATGTTTCCCATCAAACCTTCAACCCCAAACAAAATATAATCAACGTCTCTTTAAACGTATCAGAAAGGTACCAAATATTGCATACTTACGGGGCCAAATTTCTGGAAAGAAGAAAAACCCAAGGAGGTGAGCCCTTATCTTTGATATGTGTCTCCTGTCCATGAATTTCCTGCCCAGAAGATCAGCTGCTCAAGCTGGAAAATCTACATCATCCTAGCTTCTTCTTTTCTCTTACAGTCTCCATTCTAAGAATTATTACTCTGCTGACTCTCTCTCCTAAATATCTCTCCCATCTGTTCCTTCCTCCACCTCTCCCTTGGAGGAAAGCCTCATTATTTCAAACACTGTTGAATATTTAAAAACATCATCCTTTTTGGGCTCCTTGCTTCCAGGCTCACCTCACAGGTAATAATGCTGCCAGAATTATTTTACTAAATCACAAATCTATCCATGTTACCCTATTGCCTAAATTGTTTTAATGTCTCCACTTAACCTGAAATGGGAAACAGAACACTGAAGACCTTTGTGGTTGCCTTTTGAACGCTATTCTGCCTTATCTTCCTCCCCATCCAATGTGCAATATTGGTAGTTCCCCAGGAGAGTCCAGGCTTTCCTCCAGCATCACACCATGAACTGTGTGTTTCCTCTGCCTGGAAAACCCTTCCCACCTTCCACTCCATCTATAAGGTTCTCCCCATCTGGGGAGAATAAGTAAAATCACTATTTCATAAGTTACATCCAAACAAATTCAAAGGGATAAGTGATTTTACAGTGGAAACACACAAAAAAGTACTGGCAGAAAGTGTACATGTATAAATGTTTTCCCTTTAAGGCAGGGGTCAGCAATCTACAACCTGAGAGTCAAATCCAGCCTGCAGCCTAGTTTCTGTAAATAAAGTTTTATTGGAACACAGCTATACCCATTGGCTCACGATTGTCTGTGGTTACTTTTGCACTGCAGCGGCAGAGTTAAGTGGTTGAGACAGAGACCATTTGGGCTGAAAAGCCCGAAAATATTTACTGTCTGTCTCTTTACAGAAAAAGTTGACCGACCCCCAAATATTTTTTAAAAAATTAAAGCAGATATTATTGAAAGAGAGAAAATTCTGAATATATAAATTTAGAAACTATTGATTCTATAAACACAAGCAGAATTGAAAGTCAAATGACAAACTGAGAACATTAGAAACAGGTATAACAGACAAACAAATAGTATATATTCATGATACAGTGAAAGGTTGCAAGTGAGGGAAAACATCAACACCCAAATAGGAAAATGAACACGCGACTTCAGCAGCTAATTGAAACATGAAAAAGTATAAGTGAGCAATAAGTGCATGATGATATTGTTTACCTTAGTAGCAATCAAAGGGAGGCAAATAAAAGAAATAATAACTCACAGTTTACCTTAAAATTGGCAATTATTTTAAAAAATAGTCATACTCCGTATTGACAAACGTTCAAAGAAACAGGTAGTCTTAGGAAAGGTAATGGGAACAAATATTTGATTTATTACACTTTTTGGAAGAAATCTGACTTTTAGAAGACTAGTCAAAAGTTCTTTCCAACTAAAAGCTTAGCGTTAGGTGTTGGAGAGGGTGTGGAGAAAAGAGAACCCTCTCACACTGTTGGTGGGAATGTAATTTGGTGCAGCCACTATGGAAAACAGTATGGAGATTCCATAAAAAACTAAAAACAGACTTACGCTATGATCCAGCAATCCCACTCCTGGACATATATCCAGAGGAAACTCCAATTCGAAAAGATACATGCACCCCAACATTCACAGCAGCACTATTTGCAATAGGCAAGACATGGAAGCACTCTAAATGTCCATCGACAGATGACTAGATAAAGAAGTTGTGGTGTATATATGCACAATGGGATACTTCTCAGCCATAAAAAGGAATAAAACAATGCTATTTGCAGCAACATGGACGGACCTAGAGATTATCATACTAAGTGAAGTAAGTCAGACAGAGAAAGACAAACACCATATGATATCACTTACACGTGGAATCTAAAGCAATGGCACAAACGAACTTATTTATAAAACAGAAACAGACTCACAGACATAGAAAACAAACTTAACAATTACCAGGGGGGAAGGAAGGGGGAGGGATAAATTAGGAGTTTGGGATCTGAAGATACAAACTACTTTAAATAAAAGAGATAAACAACAAGGTCCTACTGTATAGTACAGGGACCTATATTCAATATCTTGTAATAGCCTATATGATAAAGAATATGAATATATATATATATATAACTGAATCAACATACTGGACCCCAGAAACTAACACAACATTGTAAACCAACTCTACTTCAATTTAAAAAAATGCTTAGCATTAGGAAAATGTTATTCTAGTAGCAGACGGTCTAAAGTACATGTTATTTTATAGTAACATTGAATCGGGTTTAAAACCTACTTTTCTCAGGAGAAACGTGTGCCTTGGACTGTCCCCGCACCAGCCTGCAGGTGGAGCCGTCACCAGCACAGACGCCGCAGTTGTCTTCCTTGGCGTTGCTCCCCAGTTGCCGGTCGCAGCCCACTGCCTGCGGACAGAAGCACGGCGGTCAGGAGTGGGCGACAGCGCAAGGAGATGCGACTCTAGGTGTTGCAGAAACCGTATTTACGTGTCGCCTTTCTTAAATCTATGAGTTGGCTCTCTTTCATGAGCACTTAGTTCTTAGAATGCAACTAATATATAAACCTTTATAGTATAATGTCATTTATGTGACACTTATGCAAAGCCCAAATAATTTTAAAAAATAAGAATGGAAGCTGCCCCTTTACAATCCCACTCTTAGTTTTTTATTTATATTTTCATTCAGATATTTTATGTACAGAAAATGGATGGAGCATCACAGGTATTTCCTTTCTCCCCACCCACCTCCCTCTCTTCCTATCCCCACTTTTAGTCCTAGACTCTCTCATTTCTCTCCCAAAATGACCTCAGTCTGAAGTTGATTGATGTATACCCTTATGGTCCCTAGTTTTGTTTAAAAATTTTTTTCTCTATTTTTAATCTCGATCAATACCTACATCTCAACATCAGTATATCCATTTCTCTCTAAGGAGAGCTAGTTCTGTATTCTGTATCTTTGCAGCTCCTTTTCTTTATAATTTCTAGACCTAGACCCACACATCTCTACCTCTACGTCATTTTACATATTAAAGTCTTTATAAACAATTTTTAAGATGTCCCATAGAATATGCTTATACTGGTATCTTTCAGTCTCTTGTGAATTATTATCTTTGTGAGTTTGTGGGTATCTGCTAGACTGTGAGCGTCCTTATATGAGAAAAGGGACTGTGTCTCACATTTCTTTTTATTTTGCAAATACGTCTTTTACCCGATACGCATCCAATGATATTAGCTGAGGAGCCTGCTCATCTCCACCTCCCTACACACAGTCATTTGTGTTTACACACCTGCTGCTTCGGTACAGAGAATCTGGAGGCTGACAGCCCGCCCCACCTGCCCGCCCCACCACCTCTTTCAGGCTGCAGGATGTTCAATGATTCAAACTCAGGAGACTCATTTTCCTCAAGAGTGAAGTAGGGCTAATAACACACACCCCACACAGGGTCTACTAAGAAGGAAATGAGAAAAGACACGCGAAGCTCCCAGTCTAGTGATGAGAACACTCAAGAGGGCTCGATAACGGAGAGCCCGTTTTAAGAGCATCTCTCTGCTTTCCATTTTGTTTGACTCCCCGGTCGAGCCCCTCTGCTTCACCTTGGGGAGCTGCTGAATCAGATTCTATATCCAAGGTGTTGAAGAGAATATAAAACCAGAGGAAGTGGAGACCACATCTATAGACTGTTCTCTCCAAAATGTTGGCGCTGAAGGGAAGAAGAAAGATCAAATGAAAGCTGCAGGGAGATGAAGGAAAAGTTCCAAGGAAGTTCAAGGGCAAGCCCGTGATTAGCGGTATTTTCCAATTCACAAAGGGCTGTCATGAAGAAAGGGTTTCCGTTTGTTCTCGATATTTTCAAACGGTGAAAGCTACAGGTGGAGGCATAATTTAGTTCAATCTGAGAAAGTCTGAAAAGTCAGAGTTCTCCAACAGTAACTATTCAGCCATGGGCTAGGCAGAAGGTTTCTTGGCAGGAAAACTGGAGAGGGAATTAAATTATCTGATGAGCAGCTACATCTTCTGAGATCCTTTCATTCTGATTATATAATTTTATAAAGATAATAGTAAAATATTAATAATAATAGTTGATTTTTGTTGAAAGCTTATCACGTACCCGGCATGATGTCAAGCGTGTTATACACGTTATTTCGTTTAATCCTCATAGCAACCTTATGATACTTTTATCTCTATGTTGCAAATAAGGCAGCAGAACGTTAATGAGGTTAAATGACTTTCCAACATTACACAACCAAAATATTGTGCCAGTCATGGTTTTAAAACTCAGGTCATCTCCTAACAGAATCTTCACACTGTGCTACACCTTCCCCATCTTAGCGATCAGCAGAGAGACAGCAAAGAACCCAGTTACATAGGCCACTACCTTAATATTTACAAGTACATGTGGAATAACTTAAGACTGATTGATTTTGGAAACACACTTGCATGGTTGGGATTCAATCAATGAATAACTTGTGTTCATGTAACTTTCTCCAAGGGGAGTAATTCTACCATTAAATTATAGAAACACTGTTCCTGGGCCAAGCTCTGTCCTCACACATTTGTGTCCCTGAGCACTTTGCATTTCATGAGCATGAGAATCACCCTCTATCTGGTCATCCAGGAAGGGTGTGGGTTTAGGAGCTAGGATGGACTTGTGAAGAGAGATTAGAGCCTTGCAGGGTCTTGGGCAATCGAATACCTCCCTGAGTACTTACATTTGTTTCAAAAATTTTAAAGCTACAGTTCATCCCAATCTTACAGCCAAAAAAGGCATGCGAAAACATCACAGAAAAATACTACTTGAAAAGAAGATCCAACTGCCTTGTGATTCACAGGGTATAAGCACTGCCCTTGAAATACTAAATTTTGACTCTCAGATCTCATCACAATCAACCATGAACAACTTTTTAACCGTTGCCCGAAGTGTTTTTTCAACTTCTGTGGCTGCTCCTAAAGTCAAAATCTCTAACTGTCATGATTTAAAAACCACTAATCAATAAACATATCAATAAAATTTATTAACACTCATATGTAGCCAATTTCTACAGAGCCAGGCACTACAGAGTATAAATTAGTAAGACAAGATTCATATCCTACACTGTAGTTAATCAGACAAGTTACACAGGATAGGGATAAGATAAACAGATATTTAAAATATATGAGCAGTGCTTTGGGGAATAAATTCTCATATATAAATCATCGCTTCAGCTAAGGATTCTTTCATAGTGCCGGCACATGACTTCCTAATCAGCTAATAGAAGTCAGTGTTTAAAGAAGTGCCATGACTCCATATTAAGTAAAGTATGGACTTTCCAGATCAGTCAAATTCAGTCCTTCAAGAAGCAAAGAATTTTTTGAGTCAACCTCTGTTTAAGATCTCTGAAAACTGGATTCTACCTTACAAAAAAAGTCTTAACATTCCTGCCTTAAAAATAAAAGTATAGGGAGCTATGGTGGTCATTAGGGATATTTATAAATATTCAGCTTTTCTTTTCCGCCCACGGAAGGATTGCAATTCCCCACCCCCTTAGAAATTAAGCGTGGTCATTGACTGTCTTTGGCCAATGAAATATGAGTCTAAGTGTCTGTGTCACTTCTGTAAGAAGCTTCAGGGGTCAGCACGTGAGTCACACATTCCCCTTCTCACTGCTGCGGTGATTATGTAAAACACGTGTTCAAATAAAGCCTCCCTCAGTCTGGGTCTCTGAGACATTCAAAGGGCAGAGACCCCCTGCTGACCCACGTTGGACAAGTAGCATCAGCTAACAGTCATCTTTAATTGTTTTAAGCCACTGAGCTTTGGGGATGGTTGGGTACTGAAGGAAAACCTAGCCTCTATTATATTGGAGCACCATTTAACTGCTAATGGATAAAGCAGGGTCCGTAACACCAAGGTGTTGTTTTAAACTGGGCATTTCACATTAAAATCCAGATTCCTGGCTCCTGTTGACAAATAAAAACTCTGACATGTGTATACATAGCTGCCCCCTTGAGCGTCCCAATGAGTGGGCACGTATTCTCCAGGTCATGAAAGTCCTTGTCACCCACTGTGACTACGCCTGAGTGGTTTTCCTCCCTGAGTGGTGTGCAGATATTTGAGTCGGAACCTCTATACTAAACTCCCTAAGCATCACTCCCCTATGGTACCGACTGTCCCTTACTAGAACCACATCTTATTTCTAGCTACAAGCTTCTGTACTCATAGCCATAGAAAAAGTACAGGTATCATCAGGGTAATGCAATGCTTAAGATGACAAAATTCTGAATTAGGTTTCCTGGGGTCAAATTCCAGCTCCACCATTTTCAAGCTCTGTACCCTGGGCATATTACTTAGCCTCTTCAAATTCCAGATTCCTTATAAACAAGGTGGGGATAATGACCACAGCTAGCTCCTAGTGCGTGATGAGCCCACATAATAAAGTGCTTAGACAACGCCTGACATGCAATAAGCACCATTAAGCATTTCTTTTTACTAGAAACACAAAGTGATTTCTTCATTTACCCAGTCGTCAAGGAAGTCAATAAACATGAATGATAAATTAGACTTGTTCTGCAGATCTGGTTCCAACCAGGTCCCATTTCTGATAAAAATCAGACCTGCAAAGCAGAAGCAAATTTCATTCAATGAGTCTCGCTGCCTCACGCTGTCGGCTGCGCTCAGGCTCAAGGAACGTTGTTCTCAGGAGCACGGTGACACGTTCATGTAAATGAGCAAACTGCAAACACACTTGCAAAAATCATTTGTAGTCGCTGCCAAGTAAACATCAGGGCTCGGTTCACTGATCCTAAGGCAATCGGTGAGAATCACACAGTTTACTTTCTCCCATCCTAAGGACTGTGGACGGCCACGGCTACATGGTACAAGAAAGGGAATTTTTGAGAACGTTATCCTGTTGAAGGAAAGATACTGAATTCACCTGAGAGGCATCTGAGTCTCTTCTGAAGAAGTGCACACAGTTCTTTTTACCTGAACAGACTGGCCAGAAGCGCATTCAACTTCCCACAAGGTGTCACCTTTTACTGCCCAGAGAACCCGCTTATCCATTAGAATCACAAAAACATGATAGGAAGCACACATCTTAAAGGAACTAACTCAGCAATGAAAACTGCCTTTATCCTGCAATCCGCTTCAAACCTTGGAAACTGCTGGAACAGACTATACACCTTAGGCAACGAATAAGAAGAAGGGGCTGTGGTCAGAGAGCTCAAGGCGAAACCAGGGAAGGGAACCAGCGCGGGCTGTAGGTTTCCCGTGTTGACGGCTATTGTGCTGGGCTCATGCAATATTGTTCATGAAAGAACGAATTTAAAACAGGACCTACAAGCAGGGTAACATCTGCTTCATATGGACTGAAAAGACCGAGGCTCAGAGACAGCAAGTGGCCACAGGAAACTAGCACATCCTGCCACCAACCAGTGTCCACTCCAGCCACGTCACTGAGACTGCTCAAGCCGAGGTCACCGGTGATGCCTGTTTTTGGTCCACATGAAGCACTTTAAATAGAAAGACATATAGATATTAAATGTACAGAGATGGAGAAAGATATAACATCAATAAAAATATAGCAGGAGTAGGTGTATTAATTTCAGACAGAGCAGACTGCAGAGCAAGGTACGTTATCAGGGGCATGAACATAATGATAAAGGTGTCAGTACTCCAAGAAGACATAACAAGATGCATGAGGCAAAAACCTACTGATCTCCAAGGAAAAAGACACATGAATCCCCTGTCATAGTTGGAGACTTCAACACTCCCCTATCAGAAATGGACAGATCCAGCAGCTGGGGTAAAAAATCAAAGAACTAGTCTATGCATATGTAGGTGCAGAGGGTATTTGGGAAATCAGTACCCCACTCAATTTTGCTCTGAACCTAAAAACTTAAGTCTGTTTTTTAAAAGGGGCAGAGGGGAGAGAAGAGTTAGGGAAGAGCCTGGGAAGGTAAGCAAGGATCCTGGATGTCATCATCAACGCAATGACGAGCCATTTAGGGACTTCGGTGGGAGGAGTGACAAAATGATTTAGGTTTTAAGACAATCACTTGGCTGCTGTGTTGAGAATGGATCTAAGAGGGGCAGTGTTGGAGGCTGGGAGATCAGGACAGGAGGTCCTGGTTATGGTCAGAACTAATCGGGGCTTAGACTAGGAAAGACATCAATGGAGACAGAAATGGTGAATTCAAAATAGACCTTGGAGGTAGAATTGATGAGATTTGGCAATGGATTAGATGTGTGGGTTGAAAGAGAGTCAAGAATGACTCCCAAGTTGTGGGGAGCAGCTGGAGGTCATTTTCAAGTTCAAGGGACATAGGAAGGAAAAGGTAGTTTGAGAAGGAAGATCACGGTTCTTCTGCATGTATGAAGTCACTGACACCTGGTCGCGTCTGACACTTAGTAGATGATTAGGTTCATTTGCTGTTGTTACTACTAATTTCTTATGAGCATAAGCAGATAGATGGAATATTAGACATCCGTTATTTAAAATTTTTTTTCCAGAGACCAAAGGGGTGGGGGTGGAATCCTATCCTTTCTCTGCTATCCACATACTGTCTCACCCATTAAAAGTGATGAGGGCTTATGCCTCAACCACATTCATCACAGCTCTGCAAAGTCCACTCTGAAAAACCTGCTGGAACACACTCATGTTCACTTTTTAGTAAATAAGTCATTGCTCCCAAAAACCGAAAACAATGAATTCATTTTAATGAGAGCACTCAGAGAGCCTATCAACATGACCCTTCAATAAAACAGTGGGTCTCAAAATGCGGCCCCTGGACCAGAAGCATCAGCGTCTCCTGGGAACTTGTTAGAAATGCAAGTTTTTGGGCCCTACCCCAGACCTACTGGGTCAGAAACTCTGGGATCAGGGCCCAGCACACTGTGTTTCAACAAGTTCATCAGGTGATTCCAACGCACTTTCACATTGGAGAAGCACTGGCCTAAAAAAATCACAAGTCATATATTACAATCTTTCGGTTCTACACAGGCAAAACTTGTCCTATGTTAAATAAGTAAAACATAATCAAAAGGTGAATAATACTCTCTAAAATATTTTCACATTAAAATTAACAAAGACAAGTACAAAAGAAAAAGATGATCTTTATTGAGAATGATGGTGGCACATCCTTGAGCCAGCGGTCTGAGAAGCAGATATAGCTTACCTGACAAATGCCACTGATGCACATGTCCAGGGAGACAGCATTGCAACGAGTTCCATCCAGTACCTTGGGTGCCAGCTCCACTACCAAATTTTGTCCCCGTGCGTGGCACTTGAGCGCGCAGGGGGCAGCAGGATCATTGTACCTTGGAAGCCATTCATAATACCGCCCCTGATACTGGACATCATTGTAGGCTGAACACTGCTGGGCTCGGAAGTCCTCTGCATCGGGAGGGCAGTCCTGGAGGCAGAGAAGAAGGGCCACATGCACATCACCGAGTGAGAGGGGCCAGCAGAAGGCTGGCCAAGTCTACCAGAGTCCCAGGAGAGCAGACCCCGCCTGCCTCTCTCCTGGAAGTCACCTCATTCCTTCACCGTTTTAACTTCAAAACCGACCTATAGCTGTGGAATCCTACCGGTACCTCTGTGATAATGGAGGGGACCGACCACCCCACCAAATCTGGGTGCTCTTCCACTCAGGTAGTTTTTGTCCGGATAACTAAAGCTGACCACATTTAAATGCCAAATTTTGCTCTATTTTTAACCATCTTGGATATAAATTTTCAAATGCATTACACAACCCTCTTCTTTTTGAAGCAACAAAAATGGAATGCTTTTAATTTTTCCAGGTGACCTAAGGTCTTCACAGGGAATGTTAATTATCATCCATGCCTTTAGGAGCCATTTCAATGTGAAGGATTATTCGCCGTTATTTTAACTGGCCCGAAACTGCTGTGCTTTGTGAGAATCTGTGTTTGTTTCTTTTTGTTTGTCTGTTTGTGCTATTCTTTGTGTTGTTTAATTTGTTTCCTTTCATCCCTTGTCACCAGGCCCCCAGCCACAGAGCTCTTCACTGGTACCAAGCGCCTGCCTGCCACAGGCTCTAGGATGGAAAGACAGTTTTTTCAAATTTTGTCTACAATAAGAACAAATAAATTCTAAATAAAACACCCTAGAAAGTTCTCATCATAATAGCAAAAAATATTAGCACAAGCCTTGATAACTCAAGGATCTTTTTACCTAATTACTGATCACTCCCATCTGATACCTCCAAAGCAAGATGATGGATAACAAAAATGTTACTTTACTCTTCAAAGCTGCTTGCAAACTTCCCAGTTGATGGGGATTAATTCATTGTGTACAAACTCCCCAATTAAAGAAAACAGGTCCAGAAAGGCAATGTATTATTTTGTTTTTTCCTTTTTACAAAAGTAATAAATGTTCATGGTAAAAGTTTGGAAATAGTCTCTATTAAAAAAAAAAAAGAATGAATAACGAAGATTCTTATACCTAAACCTTTACACAAAGTCTTGATTATTTCCCAAGGACAAACTTCTGGAAAGAGAATTCCTGAGAAAAAGGGTGTGTTTCATGGACTTTTCAAAATACTGCCAAACTGCCCTCCAGGAAGGTCTTATTGTTATAATCAGACTATGTAAGTTCCCTTTTCTTAATATGAAATCTTTTCAATTTGGATATTATAATTTTCTAAAATTTTTCCAATGATAAACATTAAACAGAACCTCACTGTTTTAATTTACGTTTTCTTTTCATTATTTAGGTTTAATATCTCTCCATGTACGTTTGCTTTTTGTATTAATCCTTAAAAAATGTCTTGTTTTCTGTCCTTATCTATTGGAATGTTTGTCTTTTTATTATTTTTAACAGATAAAGCTATTCAAACTTCACTGTGAAGTTACCAACACTTTGTCATTTGTACTGAAAATATTTTCCCCATTTAATTTTGGTTCTGATGCCTTATGAAATCAAGAAGTTTTAAAATTTTAGGCAGTCAGCTCTATTCATATTTTCTGTTAAGGTTTCTTTCTTTACAAATGGGCTTAGAAATGCTTTTCCCACTCTGCCCTGAAAACAAATAAATACTGAAATTTATTTTTCTAGCTCCTTTGTAGTTTATCAATTATATTTAACTCTTTATTACACTGGAATTTATTTTGATGTATGAGGGAAGGTAGAAGCCTAAATTTATTTTTCTGTAAATAGTTATTAATAAATTATCAGCCAGACTTTTAAAATATAATTTCTTCTATTTATCCCCTATTGACTACTTTACTTTTGTATTTCACTATGTTTATGCTTTTGGCCTTTATAAAGTGCCTCAAATCCTTTCTGGAAGTAGGAAGGGAATAAAAAAAATATAATTAATAAATAAACTTTCCCCTGGAATTAGTTGTACTACGTTGCTGCAAATCATTCCAAACCCCTATGTTGCATCCACATTTTTTCTTTCTTTAGCAAGATTAACCCTTAACCTGTGGAAGGAAAAATCTTCCACACCTATGGAAGAAACAATTAAACTGAAGAGAATGGAAATTAGAAGACCTTTCTCGCTTGGAATGAGGGCTGTGTCTTCCATCTGGCCATGGAGCAGATCATCAGAGATAAAATTATATCCCCTCCCCTTTCCTCAGCCATGGCCAATTTTCTCTAATTTGATTCTTTGGCACCTAAACCAGAGAATATGAGAGAGCAGGGTAGAAACAACTTCCCTTGTCCTAAGCCTGCTTAGGAAATGAAAGAGGCAGCTGTCTGTCTTAAACCCCATAAATCCATGAAGTTTCACAAAATTAACATTGGTTAATTGTTATGAAGACAGTGTACGAGGGAGTCCTTGCTGAAAGGGTGGCCAGGTTTGTACGTGCGACCCAGCCTCCTTGGCCACAGTTGGTGATCAGAGGCGAACATCTGGTCCATGCCAGGTCAATCTTTCCCAGGACTTTGGAATCACAACAAAAGAGCTGGAGCTAAGAACTCACATCTATCTGGGCTGGGCGAGCTCACTGCTTTTACAAGATGCCTGTTGAAGTGAAACAGGCCAGTTCCCACAGCAAAGAAGAATGAATTAGCCACGAAAGAAGGTCAGATGATAAACCGTGGGTTTCTATGGAAACAGTAAGTAATTTGGGCTTCTCACTTTGATTCCTGGGTCCAGTCCCTCAAGGTGTACTTATACCTAAATTCTACTAAATATCCACCCATCCAGCCAGTGAATCCTATCTCTCTTGAGCAAATTTGAGTGGGTTTCTGTTCCTAACAAATGATGATCCCTGACTGAGACAACCTTATACCCAGATAATGTTTCCCAGTTTACCAGGAATCAACACTGACATTCTCTTTTCACCACCTCCTTTTGAGTTAGGTAGGTCAGGATTACCATTACCTTTGTTTTTATAAATGGAGAAAACCATGATCTAGAAGGTCTTTAGTCACTAGCCCAAAGACACACAACAGAATAAGATGGAGCCAAGACTGATTCCCAAGGCAACAAGCATTCTATTACATGATATTGCCTTCTAGTAATCTTGAGGGACACTGACTACTTCCATTAAATGCCTTCATTTACCTGGCATTCTTCCAGTGTTAACACTGAGCCTGTCTGGTCTGGTTCAGCCAGTTCCCATGCCCTGGCTCAAGACAATCTAGCAATTCTTGTGTCTAAAGTTTAGTTGACATTTGGGGAGCTTGAAGGCCTAACATCCTTCTGCTTTCTTTTCCCTGAAAAGCATTTCTTCATGTATAAGTTAAGTTCCAGAAAACACTTATTCATTAAATATACTTTATGGGCTTTGCCTAGGTGACATGCTGGGAGGAACACAAAAGAAGAATATAAGCCATCAGTTACCCAGTGAGCTTGTTAACTTATTGGCGATGTAGCACCTATGTGCATGGAATACATTGAAACAGTGGGTTATTACTGGTATTTGTAGACTTACAGTAGGACTCAGCAGTGAAGGAAATGAAATCATTGTCCAAGAGTTAAATTAAAAACTGATTAAGTGGAGTTAATAAGGAAAGACTAAATCTAACAAGGGAAGACTGGGTCCTAGATCATGAAGACTTGCTTAGTCAGGAGTGGGTAGCCAGCCTGGGAGGCATAGAAGAGAAGAAGAAAGAGAAGGAGGAGAGGGATTGGGAAGAGAAGGGGAAGAAAGGGGGGAGGGGAGGCTCAGAGGGAAGGGCGGGAGGGTAAGACACAGCAGAGAACAACCAGCAACCATCCAAGACCCCTGAAGATAGGGATCTCCTTTCCTCCCTAAAGCTGTGAGACTATATAAACAGTTCTCATGGGCAACTTAGGGACAGAAGCCAAAACAAGGAGATCATCTAACGAGCTGAGTATTCTCTAAGACGGACAGACCATTACCTACAAGATGATTTATGTAATAGGACTGGACCAAGCTTTGACTTGGGTTAGATATTCAATTTCCCCCCAGATAACCAGCGAGGAGGGATTCAGGAGAAATACGACTTTTATATAAGCAAATTTGAACATTTTATCTTCACATCCATGTTGTGGTTTGAGTTAAATTTCATGATCCTCTTATATAACAAATGCCAAAGTTTCTAGCATAAAAATAAATTATTGTAGGTGACCACTATATGCTAGAGTAAGCAAATGATGCCTGGTGGAAAAGTGCCAATTCAAATGAGATGTAAAGAATGGTGCCATGTGAACAGGACAAGATCCGAGAAACAACGTAAGCAAAAGAGAAACAGCAGAAATAAATTCAGTATCTGTGAGGCACAGCCTTGTCCAGCAAGAGTGAAAGTTGCGAGTTGAATAAGAGATGAATCTCACCAAATTCTGGAGGTCCTTGAACGCAAGGGAGGGGAATTAAAACCAGTAAGAATCCCCAGAGGGGAGTGACATGGAAAGGGGGTAGCATGGGTGGCATTTTGCTAGGAGGGTGGACCGGAGCTCTGGAGACAACTCCGAGAGGAAGTGGCTCTTGCCCAGAGCAGGAGCAATGGAAGAAAAGAACGCCTCTAAGAAAAAACTGTTAGAAATTAGCCATGCCTAGGATCTGGAGTATAAAGGATATTCAAGACTCACATCAAATGTCACCTCTTCTGGAAAGTTGTCAGGGAGCCCAAGGGCCCCACTGTGCAGAATTAGCCACGCCTCCCTCTGTGCTCACATAAAAAAGTCTTAATGCTACAAAAGCACTCATACCAAATTATGATATACTTATTTTTAAAAAAAATCTTTTCCTTCTAATCTCTTCCAGCTTTACCTTTAGTCTCATGAACCCTGGTGTAAAAACATGCGCAGTCAGCGAGTTCAGGCAGTAGGCCTCCTTGTTGACACACAGCTGCCCTTGGAACTTCCCCACTGGCTCTCTGTACCCCTGAAAAGGATAATTCTTTCCTGAATGGCTGTCAGAGTCCATGCTGAGAGCTGTCTGAAAAAGGCAGTTACCTGGGGCCCCAGCACCGCACACAGGCATGTTCTGTGCCCTCAGCTCACAGGCCCTTTCTCCCAAAGCCCCATCTTCCCGGGCAGAATGAACCCAGGGAGAGCCGCTGAACTGAAGCCTGGTTTCCGCGGGAGAGCAACGTGGTCCTCATCTCCTGGTCACATCTCCCACTCTGCACGTGCCACCAGGAGTGGAATTTCTTTGTCTACAAGCTCTGAACGCATACCTCTAACACATCTAGACTTCATAACAGAAGAACACTCAGTCTTTCCTGGAGTGCCTGGAACCAACTTTTCTGCTGAAGTGGGCAGAGGTCAGAAATGCAGCTGTCAGGGTCCTTAAGCCAGATCCTCCCCTGTGCTGGGGATCCCCCCCATCCCACCCAGGGACTGCTGGAGTGCAAGGCCCAGAGCCACGGAGCGCTTCACTTCTGGGTCTTCCCCTCAGCTGCCTCTGCCTTCAGCTCCTTCCCTGCCCTTCCCTGCCCTTTGTCCCTGACCAACTGTGAATGTTCAGAAGGTCCTTCCTGCCGTCCCTGGTGCTGGAGTTTCTATGAAGAATCTGAAAGTACAATGTTCCTCCAATTACCTCCACGACCCATGAGCTTCCAGGTTGTTAAAAGCAACTTTGTTTCAGGTGCTGCTGTCTGTGGTGTCATTTCATTATCTGACAAAGCATGAGACTTCGTCACACTTCTTTCCAAGAGGCATTGTGATACAGTGGCGTGGTCAAGACACACACGTCCAGGGAGCCTGGAACCTGGCTTCCTGGGGTTAAATTCTGCTCTGTGACCCTGTACGGGTTACCTAAGTTTCCTGCTCTGTAAAAGTGGAGATAAAAATAACACCTACTTCATAGGGATATTATGAGAATTAAACTGGCTTATTCATGAAAAGGCACTCAGAACAACGCCTAGCATTTAGGAATTTACGTAATAAGTGTGAACTATTATTGTTGTTGTTGTTGTTGTTGTTGTTGTTGTTGTTATTATTATTATTATTTTATTGAAGTATAGTCAAGGTGCACGTCAAATGAATGACTCCAATGAGCCCAGACTCTTGCATCTTCCCATACACAGAAAAGCATCCTGAACGTCAGATAGCTGGTTTTCTTTAATTAACAGTGATCTTTGGATGTTCCATCTGGTGTTTGTTGCAAAAACTCCTATATATCCTGGCTCCTCCTGTACCTCTTTGGAGCAGTCCCTCAGAGCGATCTGAGAGGCTGTCTTCCAGGCTTGAAGTCCTCGGAAAGTCTGCAGAATAAAACACAACTCCCAACTTCTAGCTTGTGTATTTCTTCTGTCGACATCCACTTGGGGCACTCAACACCCTTGCAACGTTTCTAAGGTGCGTTCCCAGGAACACACCCGCCTGATCACTCCTGCGCAGGAACAGACTTCTTACAGATCATCAACACGGCCGCTGGGGCTGCACCCACCCACGTCTGGTCTGCAGCAGGCCTGGAGTATCGCAGCTGCAAATACTTGGCACACGGGGATGGAGGGGTGCCCTGAACACCGCAGATGTGGAAGACCTGCCACAACGCTCCCTTATTTCCCTATAAGGAATTTTGTTGGAAACTCTGAATTTGCAATGGCAAGCATAGAGATTAATGTCATAGTCTTATGAAACCTCTCTAAGGACTCTCTTAGAACTCCAACTCTGAGAAATAGAAATGGGCAACCTTTACACTGCTGTCCTCCCTGCTAGCTCCTACCTCCTAAGCATCCATTTCTCAGCAGCCTAGCAGTGGCAAAGGTTTCTGCAGAATCCTCTGAGTGGCCGTCAGGTAGAGACCACAACGACTCCTGAGACCCAGAGCCTCAGGGGCATCAGATCTTCACTCAAGTACACCAAAGTCCTAACCACTGCAACTTAGATGCACCACTTTTAGTAGATTACATTTTATCTCTACACTATATGACACGACACTCCTAGACCCTTATAACGTTTGTGTTGAAGAGATGCCTTTTGGAATTAGCCAGAGCAGAGTGACACACACGGACAAACCCTAGAATGAAATCTCAGAATGTAATATCTTGATCTGGGCACTTAAAATGAACTCCTCTCGATAGCTTCACAGAGTATTGAATAGCATACTGGATAGCACACTGTTGTGAAATTTGTTCTGGAGTGACGGCAAGGAAGTTGCCAGGCCAGTGTGCCTGAGAAGACAAGCTGTCCCATTGTGCTAATCAGAATAATGCACCCTCCCCAAAGATGTTCACAACCTAATCCCTAGATCCTGTGAATATATCACCTTACGTGGCAAGAGGGACTTTGCACAAGGCGTCCCTTGACTAAGGTTAAGGACGCTGAGACGGGGAGATTATCCTGGACGATCCAGGTGGGCGAACCTCACTCAGCTCTGATCACAGGCAGATGTGACTACAGAAAAATGGTCAGAGCGATACAATGTTGCTGGCTTTGAAGATGGAAAACGGGGCCACAAGCCAAGGAATGCAGGAAGCCTCTGGAAGCTGGAAAAGACAAGGAACAGATTCTCCCTAGAGCCTCCAGGAGGAATGCAGCCCAGCCGACACCTTAATTTTAGCCCACTGAGACCCGTATCAGACTTCTGACCTCCAAAACTATAAGATAATGTGTTGCTTTAAGCCAAGTGTGTGGTAATTTTTTACAGCAGCAATTAAAAACTAAAGTGGACCCAGGCAAAAAGTAGTTGATGTAAAAGCCTTGTGCATAAAATCCTCTGGCTGCTAATGCGCTCACGTGCTAGCTGGAGAAGGCAGGCCAGACCGTGTGCCTGAATGTCCGCCTTCGTCTGTGCTCGCGTCAGTCTCTCTCCCTCCTTCATCCTCACCTGGACTTCCAGCTCATTTAACTGAGCACCAAGCACACGTGTGTCTTTTGAGATCCCAAGTCCATCCTGTTTGTCATAGGACATGTGAAATTGATTTGCTTTGTCTCCCAAAATTTCTCCTAGGACGTAGTGGACGTAAATCCAGCTACTCCAGGGCTGGGTGGTACTGGGGTCTAAGTGCCCAGTAAACGAGCACTCATTTTTCCCACCCAAGTTTGAAAGATCAAGGTAAACATTCCTGCTTTGTCATTGATAAAAAATAGGCTGAAAACAGACTGGAGCTTGGGCCCCAGAGACGAAAGGCCTTGCTAACACTGCCTACTCTCCCCTACCCAAGTCGAGAGCCTGCAGCCACCCGCCAAGAAAAGGCTGGGTCAGGAGAACAGAAATGCTTGCCCAGCACAGAGAAGGAAGAGAGAGGGACAAAGCTCCTCAGTTAGTGAAACATTTAAAATAAACGAGTTTCAGCAAATTGAGGGAAAAAATGGATTTTTAAAGAAATCCGAAACTTCACTTTGATCTCCAGAGTTTCAGAATTTCCTTTTAATTCCTGTCATTTTGATTCAGGTATATATGACTAACAAAGGGCATCTTTTGTGTGGAATACAGGGCTGGTTCCTTCTGACATTTATTTTGCATGGCACATTGGTGTATCTGAATTTTCTTTTTTGTTTGTACTGATCACTGTAGGAAAAGAGGTGTATAAACCCTTCCTTTTGTGCAATCTTCTTGTGTCACCTACAGTACTCCTTAACACATTCTGCAGGGGGCAGGACAGGTGGTTTGAAAGATCAGGAGAAGCAGCACTAGACAAGTTCAAGTCTATACTCTTCCTGTGCGGCCTTTGGAAAGTCATTTCACTTCCCTCAGCTCCAGTCCCCTCACCAGAAAAAGAGAAATAACCACGCCTCGTGCGCCAGCCATCTCGGAGACAGATGCGAGGGTCAGATGAGATACTGTACGTAAGAGCACTTTGAGCTTCAAAGGCATTTACAGGTATGATGTATTGTTTCTATGAATTCATAATTTATTAGACACTTACCAAATTAGATCATAAATGTGAAATGGCCTAAAAAGGTAGTATAAATGGAAGGGATGAGATATACAAAAGCTGTTGTCAATTAAACAAATATTCAGATTTTCCACAAAGAGTACCAAGAGGCTATTAGCTTTATGGTATATATTATAACTTAAAACATGAACACACTTGATTAGATTATATGTTTTCATTACAGAACTTACATGATTGCTGCATGTCTTGTATCGAATATTCTGCCCTTCACAATTCCTGAGGGAGAAAAGAAAATAATGATTTCCTGGAAGTTACAAGCAGCAAAAAAAAAAAAAAAATTAATAAATGAAAATCAGGCACTGGTTATCTCAAAGATTCAAAGTTTAAATGAAAAGAAATAACTTACAAGGACTGAAGGCCAAAAAGTCTCATGAAAGTGTCACTTTAAATAGAGAATGAATTCTTTAATTGAAGTAATGTAGTAATATTATTTAAGCACAGTTTTTACCCCAGGGTCCATACATAACCACTGAAATTAATGTAGTGTGTGTGCCTGTATATATGTGTGTGTGTGTGTAATGTGTCCATATGCATTTTTTTCCTATGAAAAAGAAGGGAAAGCTATGGACAGAAACATCTGTGTAGAACGTCCCTGTCGGGGAATTTCTCTTCCTCACTTACTGAGGTCACCCAAGTTCACTGGGCCCTCCATGACTTTCCTCTCTGATCAATACAATTGTCTCTGTCAGAAATTTGCTTGAGGCAATGCTTATGTTTTATTGCAGCCACTGGCCTTAATAAATGGATGCCACAAAAATAGTGTTGGGGTGTTATTCTTTCTTGGGGGGGAAGCATTTTGAAGATTTACAATGTTTTAGTTTTAGATGTACAGCAAAGCGACTTAGTCGTATATGTGCCCTTTTTCAGATTCTTGTCCATTGTAGGTTATTACAAGATATTACAGGATACTGAATATAGTTCCCTGTGCTATACAGTAGTTTCTTGTTCTTTATCTATTTTATATATAGTGGTATGTATCTACTAATCCCAAACTCCTAATTTATCTCTCTCCTTGCTTACCCTTTTGGTAATCATAAGTTTGCTTTCTATGTCTGTATGTCTATTTCTGTTCTGCAAATAAGTTCATTTGTATGATATTTTAGATTCCACATAGAAGTGATATCATATGATATTTGTCTTTGTCTGACTGACTTCACTTAGTATGACAATCTCTAGGTCCATCCACTTTGCTGCAAATGGCAATATTTCATTCTTTTTATGGCTGAGTAGTATTCCATTATATATATACCACATCTTCTTTACCCAGTCATTTGTAGATGGACATTTAAGTTGCGTCCATGTCTTGGCTATTGTAAATAGTGCTGCTATAAATATTGGGGTGCATGTATCTTTTTGAATTAGAGTTTTCATCTTTTCCACATATATGCCCAGGAGTGGGATTGCTGGATCATATGGTAACTCTATTTTTAACTGGGTGGTTTTCTTAGGATACCAATACAGATAGAGTCTGAAGCCATATACTCCTATACATATAGGCCGAGAATCCTCCAAGGATGACTGCCACATATGCTGTCCTCCCCACTAGCCACTTGCTCTGGGACCTCACCACTCATTTTCCAGGCAAACTTTCCTTTTGGGTGTTTGGAATTCCATCTAGTGTGTTGTTTCCTCAGCGGTGCTCTATAGTTTACATTAACTCCTTAAAGATAACTTCTATAAATGGTACCTTTTCCAATTTTTCCATGGAGTTTATATGTTTCTATCTTTTGGGTTTTTCTGGTCAATTCAATGGCAAATCTGGAGTAAGAAAAGCTAAACACAGGCTTAACTCACCATCTTGAGTTAAGTCAATCATAACTATTTTATTAATTTTAAAACAGTCCTGGAAGAACAGAACTTTTAAAAAGTGGATCTGAGGAGGTCATTTTTTGCTGGTGTGATTTGAATATAAGCTTAAATGAAACAACTGAACAAGTTTATTTCAGCCATACATAACTCATTGTACATACTTTCTGTGTGGGCTGTTTTATTAATTACAAAAAGAGTAAGTGAAAACTAACAATGCACCCAGGAAGTATAAAGGAGGGAAATCAATCATTTATAATCCTATCATTGAGAGCTTTACCTTTAATATTTTGGCATTTAATCTTCCAGTATTTCTGCCATGACATCTACAGATGTGAAATCATGCTGCCATTCAACTTTGTATTCGTTTTAATCTAATATTATAACCATGTTTCCATTTTATTAATAATTTCTTTGAAAAATTGTTTAGTGACTACATAATAGTCCATTACACAGACATTGCTTTTCTTATAGTTTTGAATTTATTTTTTTTACTTGTGGTAAAATACATGTAATATAAAATTTACCATTCTAATCACTTTTAAGTATACCATTCAGTATTGTAAGTATATTCACATTGTTGTATAGACGTTACCTTTTGTGGTTCTCTATGCTGCCTCTTCTTTTCCCCTAGTTTAAATATTTACATAAAGTAAAATTCACTTTGCAGAGGTCTATGATTTCATGAGTTTTGACAAACCCATACAGCTGTGTAAGCACTACCCCAATCAGTATGTGGAACAGCTTCATCACCCATAAAAGCCCTCACCCTGCCCACTTGTAGCCCAACTTCCCCGCACTCTCAGCCCTGGGCAACTACTGATTTTTTTTTTCCTGCTCCAGTAATTTTGCCTTTTCCAGAATGTTATATAAATGGAATTATACAATTTGTAGTTTTCTGGGACTGACTCCTTTCACTTAACATGATACACACAAAATCCACCTATATTGCCGCGTGTATCTGCACTTTGCCCCTTTTTAATTGCTGAGTAGTATTCTGTTATGTGTATATACGACAGTTTATTTATCCATTCACCAACTGGATATTTGGGTGATGTCCTGTTTTTAGCAATTATGTACAAAAATGCTGTAAACATTCACGTACAGGTCTTGTGGGAACATAAATTTTCATTTCTCTTGGGTAAATACTGAGAGGTGGGATTACTGAGTCTGCTTTTTTTATATAACACAATAATGCTTTGCTGAACAACTTTATGCTCTCACTTTAGTTCACATTTAGAATATATGTCAAGAAGTGGCTGAAAAATGCCAGTCCTTTGATCATGTGACTTTTTCATTTGTGAGGCTTTAACTCTTGGTCGGCTAAGTATTATTTGACTGGTTGTTTTTTCAAGAAGGATAAATATCTGCCATATTACTGAACTTTACTTTTCACATAGAAAAGGCAATGCAGCAAGATATATTACCTTTTTCATGACCGTTTTTCCTCTCAAAACTGTAGATATCCTTCATTGACCTTTGACATTTAGATTTGCAGAGAAGTCTGATTTTTATTCTTTTGTCTGTGTGTTTTATTTTTCTGCCTGGAAGCTTATAGTGTTGTTTTGTTTTGTTAGTATTAGAAGTAAAAATTGTAGTCAGGATGTATCTAGTTGTGTGTTTAATCAGTTTGGGCTGAAAATGGTGGGTCCCTTGGCTTTGACTGGAAGACTCGAGGTCTTTATTGGCAGTGCTGTATATTATTCTCAGATTATAATTTTGATGACTGCCTTTGTTCTAAGAACACTTGTCATTCTTAAGTTAGAGGTCCTTTTCTCTGCTCTTATTATTTCCTTTCTGATCTATGATTTTCTCTGATATACATCTCATTGACTTGACCTTCTCTTATACTTCTAAGAAATCTATAGCCAGCCCTTCACATGACTGATTTTCTTTTTCCATAGTAACCATTTTGTAGTTTATTATCTGATACACTTTTGATTCTACTTGTTCTTTTTTTGCAACCCTTCTCAAACTCACCCTCCACCACCTACATCCCATACCATACTTCCTGTTCCATTTGCAGGATGTACCCCAGTCTCTTCACATCTTCGTGTTTTCTGGGAGGTGAAACCCCTAACAGGATTCAGAGGGCATATGGGAGAAAGACATTTTGGGGTGAAAAGAACAGCATTACAGCCTGCTCCAAAAGCATTGTCTAAATAATAGTTAAATTTCTGAACTGGAAGACAGATGAGGTGTCCAATTAATTGCCCCTTTTTCATATAGTTCTCCTGACTTTTAGTTTAGAGCCTCTTCCTAGATTATCACAGTAGACTGACCCAGTTTTAGTATTCTGTAACACTGTGTATTTCCATCTTTGTGACTCATCATAGTTACAGTACTTGGAAATTTATTAAACTCTCAACAGGGCTACATTAAATTTTAGACATTCCAGAAGCACCAAACTGGGAGTCTCACAGGCAAAATTTATTAGGGTGGAGAAGTCTCTCTCTTGGTCAAAGGGATGTGACTCCATTCTCTTGGGAACAACAGCTATGCCAGTGGACAAGGTCATTGACTTACATGGCTTATTTCATTGTGCTTATTATGTGTGGATGAAGGAAGAAAATAAATTACAGAAAAAGTGAAAGGGTAATTTAAAGTACTCTGCTTACTTTGGAAAAGCCCCAGTTGAGGAAAGCAGCTAACATATTAGGGAAGTGATAACCAAAATCTTTTTGTATCATGCTGACTTACAACCCTAAAAGGCTTTCAGTTCTAATTTCAAGGGGGCAGGTAGATTACAAAGACATGGTTTAAGAGAGTATTTGAATTGATCTAAATACTGGAATACAAAAACTGTTGAAACTTAAAAAGAATGACATTTTCTTTAAAAGTGTGTGAGAACTTCAGAAATAATTTTTCAGATGCACTTTTGGTAATTGTTTAACTTTGGTTGTTCAAATGAAAAACAAAACTAACTTTGCAAAATTTAACACTAAAGGGAAAGAATATATTTGCCAATGGCAGCTGGTAGCTGTGTCTCAGGTCTGCTGTGTATGCTATTTGGTCGTGGTCTATACCCCACCTGCTATGTTAGCTGCGAGGCACGAACTTGCATTGTGAGTGTTGTGCCTGAAAATCTGAACCTAAAACATAAGTACATCTTCACTACAAATCCCACTACAACTGCAGCAAAGTGACAGGGAAAGGGAGCATTTTATTCCATGAATTCTCAAAATATAAAGTACCATCTGGGACTCGTTCCTTCTCCAACTACTCTTTGTGGTGCACCGGGATGTGGATACAAAGATGCAGGATGATTATCTCCCAATTCTCTTAACAAGTCGGTAGTAAGGTTTTTGTAACCCGACCACCTGGTGGACATTTTTAACGTTCTGCTGCACTCTGTCCAACCTAACACACACTGAACCCACTGACTGGCCTCCACTGATGTGGCAGGCTTT